ACAATTGACTATCCTTGAAGGAGTCTGGTGTGCTAGTGACATCTCTTTATTGTCTGCAATTGGCGGAACCATCCTCAGTCATTCCCAGCACCCTTCCCCATATTCGTGGGTTGTCCGGTAAAGAGTGCAACAAACCTTTCTCCTCATTTCCTCTAGTTGAGATCGCGGTCTGATCACAGTTTGATTCGGTTCGCGACCAGAATCGTGGAACTAATGAAGTTCGTGAACCGCGGTACCACCTGTGCATGCTTTGATGAGTTTGGTGTGGAGGAACTGGAGTGTCCTGCACAGAGCCCTGACCTCAACCCTACTGAACACCTTTGGGATGAATTGGAAAGGCAATTGCAAGGCAGGTCTTCTCATTCAACATCAGAACCTGAGCCAGCTCCATAAAGATTTGGTTTGATGGGTTTGGTGTGGAGTGGCTTCCACATAGCCATGAACAACACCCTTGTTCAATTGGAATTGTTGGAATACTGAAAGGTCTTCTCATACATCATTGAACCTGACCTCATACATCATCTTCTCATACATCATTGAACCTGACCTCATACATCATCTTCTCATACATCATTGAACCTGCCAATGTTCTTTTGGCAGAATGGGCACGAAGCTTCAAGGAGGGGTTAACCTTATATTAGTGGCCATGGTTTTGGTATGGGATGTCCAAACTGTTACCACAATTATCTAAAATGTCTTTGTAGCCTTCCACCATGACTGTGCTCCTGTACACAAAGCCAGCTCCATAAAGACATGGTTTGATGGGATTGGTATGGAGGAACTCGAGTGGCTTCCACAGAGGCCTGACCACAACCCTATTAAAAACCCTTGGGAGGGCTTGGAATGCAGAAAGGTCTTCTTATCCATCATCAGTACCTGACCTCAGTATTGGTATTTTGGCAGAATGGGCACAAAGCTGCAAGGGGGCTGCTAACTCCATTAGTGACTATAGTTTTAGGATGTCCAACATCCTATGTAGGTGTGATGGTCAGATGTCCACAAATCTTTACACCTATAGATGTATTAAACATGTTTTTGTCTATCTGTTCTAACACTACAAACAGTAAAGTGTATGTAAACCCGAACAATTATTATTTCTTAACCTTATTATCTGTTAAACATACCATTGAAAAGCATTTTGTTGTATTTGTTCAAAATAATGATTATATAAAAATGTTATAAAAAAATGTTGGTCACACCAGGAATTCAGAGCTGTCCTGTGCACACTGCCTGTTTTATCTGAAGAAGTTTAATTAGCCCCCTCAGTTCATATCCCAGTTCTTACTACAGAACAATGAATCCCTATGTTTTGAAAGTGAGGAGAGGGGGAGGGATTCAGTAGCTGAGCAACAGAAAAATGGGCAGTGCTGATGCCATTCAGTCCACAAAAATGCTGTGTGTTTTCTAGACCCCTTATGTCACCTTAAAGAGTACCTGTCAACTCCAATGTGCTATCACATAGGCGGTTTATGAGCCCTGTGACGGGGGAGAAAGGATGAATTCCCTGACTGATGGAGTTTACATCGTCTCCCTGGGCTTGTGTGGGTTTTTTCTGGATACTCTGGTTTCCTCCCACACTTCAAAGACATGCTGGTAGCTTAATTGGCCCCTGTCTTAAAGGAGAACTATGGGGTCAGGGCTTTTCCCCATAGTTCTCCGAAGGATAACGGGAGGACACAAACTAGCGTCCTCCCGTCACCCTAAGTCCAGTATACCGCGAGCTACAGCTCGCGGTATACTGAGACGCCGCAGCGGATCCCGACATCGATGTCGAGATCCGCCCAGCTGCGTGAGTGAAAGCTGGCTCTTCCTATCTAGAGGCAGAGCCAGCTGTACCCGCCCCCTCCCCCGTCCGGCCACTCAGCGCTGGTGGATCGGAGCTGGGAGGGGGGAATCCAGTCCCTCCCCTGTCACGGCAGAGAGCCGTGACAGGATCGAGAAGTGAGCGAACACCGGCATGTGTTCGCTCACCTCCCAATCTACTGAGCCGACCTGTGACAGTCTCATTGTCACAGGTTAATTGGCTCTAGTAAGTGTGTGCGTGTATGCATGCATGCGGGATAGGGATCATAGACTGTAAGCTTCTTAAGGATCCGGACTGATGTGATTGTACCAGGCTGCTAAAATTGCTGGTGCTATATAAATGCCTGTAAGGGGGCTGAAGGCAGCATCAGAGACGAGGGGTTAGACTGTGGGCTGAAAGGGGTGTCTTCTGCACCCAAATGGCAGCAAGGCTTGTTGAGGTGCACCTTGCAGAAGGCTTTGCAGAGGATTAAGCTCACCTCTGGCTTCAAGCCCTATAGTCTGAGTGGGAGCCAGGCTCCGAAGGCTTGCAGGTACCTAATGCAGAAGTAGATGAACGAGAAGGGGGGGATTCCTCTGACCCCTCCCCAGTCCTCTCACGTTGAGGCAGCAGCATACTCCGCCCCCGTGGTGTTAATAATCTCTGTGTCAAAAGCAGGGCCGAAAAGACAACATCCCTCAAAGAGGCTTAAATACTCCTTGTATGTAGTATCAACATCACAACTGCACCACCAGAGTGACCTGCACATTTGTATGGACATCAGACCCATAGGAGACACAAGTTGAGGTGCTTGTAACAAGCCATCACAGCTGAAGCACAAGGCTCCAGACATTGAATCCATCTGCACCATGAGACAGGGTCCAATCCTAGAGGTAGAGAGATCCCTTTTGAGGGAGTCCACCCATTCAGACACTGTTTGGCACATTAGTCACTGCCAATACAGGACAGAGGACAAAACCAGTCAATTCAACCTGTGAAGTAAGGTGGGATTCAAGATGCCGGTCATTGGAGGGAAAGTCACTATTGCGGGCCACCTTACAGACACTGAGCCATCCAGTTGTGCCAATGCCTGCATCCCCCTTGCCTGCTGTATTTCCACCTGCCAATAGCTTGTCACAATTGTGTTCCTGGGAAACACACATGTATGAATTGCTCCGCAGTGCTCGCAGCTGTAGAGGTCAGCGACGGCTTATTTTAAAGATCTTGGTAATATAGAAATACTTCAAAACGTCTATCGCCTGGCCACAGGTTCACATTAAATTCTGAATATACATCACTTGAAATCCATTATTTGTATGCGATTTAATAATAACCACACATACATTTTGTATAAAGTTAAAATTTATTTAAGATTACAAATTGATTTCAGTGCAATCTCACACAAAGTGCTTTAACATTTTCATATCCTTAAAAAAACAAAAAATCAGACTATTTTAAGATTCAAAATCTTTATACGGTCTCTAAACATTGCTCAATGATTTTAAGGCAAAAAGGGGAACAATCGAGAATTCACAGAATAATATCTACTGCAGAGTGCAATTCATCTTCTTTTCATGATGATTTCTTCATAAGAAGTGCTCTGCTTTCTATTTTGTGACCACAGAATAAGGAGGAACAAAGTTCTCACAAAAGGAACATAAAAAAAAACTGTCACGGCAGAACTTGCTCCTGTTTTCATGAGACGACTGAGATGTAAAGGGACGTTCACAGCTGCGTAGAGAGGGTGGAGCAGTGCCGCTTCACTGTAACAGAGGCCGATGAGGTAATTCTAAAACAGGTTTCCTGGTTCAAAGCAAAGAAACATCCAGTTGTTCCGTGTGATTTGTTGACCTAATCTAATATGGAGGCTCCCAGACACGGCAGAGGACAATTTGGGCCTTATTCAGTAAAGAGTTATACTTTGGGTAACTCGAGTGCCACACTTATGGTCAAAGAGTCCGAAGTAATGTTTTCTTAAATAGCCAGTAGAAAGTAAGCCAATGCATTTCAGGGGTTCGGACAGCGTGGGTTGGAGCAATGGACATTGCAGTGGAGGGAGAGACTCTATGTGGGTTTGGATATAAGAAAAGCCTTATAAGTTCAGTTTTATTGGGAGTACCCGTCTTTTTTATTACCATTACAATAAAAGAAGAAAAACATGTTGATGAGGCTCCTGTCTTGTGCTTAAATATTTTTTTAACTTGTGTTGTAGCCCTGATGAAGGGGTACTGTCCAAACCCCCTAAACACATGTGCTTTCTTTCTACTGATTTAATAAAACATCACTTTGGACCACCAGTGTACTTGTTCTTGTATAGTTGGACTTTTCTCAAGACCCCTCCTTTAGGGATGTTGTGGTATACAGGTGAAACGCGATTAGAATATCGTGCAAAGTTCATTTATTTCACTAATGCAACGTAAAAGGTGAAACTAATATATGAGAGAGACTCATTACATGCAAAGCAAGATAATTCAAGCCGCGATTTGTCATCATTGTGATGATTATGGCTTACAGCTCATGAAAACCCCAAAAAGTAGATTATTACATGCAATCAATAAAACAAGGATTGTACATAGAACAATATCGGACCTCTGAAAAGTACAAGCATGCATATGTACTCAGTACTTGGTTTGGGCCCCTTTTGCAGCAATTGCTGCAATTACTTTTGCACGATATTCTAATTATTCGAGTTTCACCTGTATATGAGCAGCCTCACCAAAGAAAGATAGCACAGTTATTGAGGCAGTCCTTTCTAACACTGCATACTACTCATAGAAGATCTAGTGCTTCTCTTTGTATGTACTTCCACTTCAAGAGAACCTGTCACTTTTTACAGTGCTGTGCAACGCAAAAGGCATATTTTGTGTACAATCCTGGTAAAGACAACTGTAAGGTCTCAGTCACAAGCATGCAAATAAAGGAGACTGACACTTTGTGTGCTGGAGCCAAATGTATTCTTCTACCAGTGACGTCTCAACCCAGAAACAAACAAGCAATAAGTCCATCCCTGCTGAAGTGAGTCTCATAAAAGGACACCCCCAGCTACCATCCCACCCCCACCCCGCCCCCAGGCAGGGAATGTGGGACCGGTCAGACTAGGTGCCGAGAACTTTAGAGGTTAGCCATATCCTAACACCTATTCCTTTTGTACCTGAATACAAGTGTTTTCCTATAAGCATTTCAGAACCAATCATTTCCTATTAGACAGATACTGTCAGCATCTATTCCCTTGTTCATGATAAAAGGTGGTTCTCTTTACATTCAAGTAAGCACAATGAAATTATAAGATATACACGTAGAGAGTATAAGAGAGAAGATAAAAAGGCACATCGGTATTAAAAAGTGAATGGACCTGAGTACATGAAAGAGATTCCTCAATGTTCAGACAGCCCGGATCTGAAAGAGAAGAAGATATTCAATATAAAAGAGGAACCAACGAGAGCAAATCACAAGTAATCACAGAACATAATCCCAACAGGATCTCAGAAGAAACACTACAAACAATTCCGGTCAAGCTGAGCAGCGAGTCATTACACGCTGCCCGGCTCTCCGATTGGCTCCCTCGTCATCAGGTGACAAGGGAGCATGGAGCCGACTTCCCAGCCAATCGGAGAGCCGGGCAACTCGTCATTACACAGCGCCCGACTTCTTGTCTGGCCAGTAAGCCGGCTCCATGCTCCTTCGTCAACTGGTGATGAGGGAGGATGGAGACGGCTTACCTGCTAATCAGGAAGCCGGGTGGCACGCCGCCTGGCTTCCTTAACGGGACTTCCGGTATCAGTATTCAGTATCGGCGAGTACTGAAAAAAAAAATTAAAATATCGGTACTCGATAGCGAAAAAATGGTATCGGTGCATCCCTAGTAAGAACAAACTCTTATTTTCTCCTTTTGTTCCGTTAAATGTACCACCTGAAGCATTCTGTTTTACTGATTTGATAAGTGCCAAAAAAAACCTTTTGATCTTGAAAATCAGAACTGCCCAGTGCACACGTCCTGCGAGATCTCAATGGGTCTATTTGGCCCTCCTAGTTCTTATCTTGGGCCTACAAGTCAATAAGTGCCTATGCTTTGAGGATGAAGACAATGGGAGTGGCAACTAAAAAAACTAGAAGCCACTCTACCTGAAGGCTTCTTAAAGGGAAACACACAGTGAAATGTGTACGTATTGTAGAAATATACTGCATATATTTTTTCTTTTAACCCCTTCGTGACTGACGACGTACAGTGTACGTCGCCAGCATCGGGGCTGTTTAAACAGACTCCCGGTGACTTTTGCCGCCGGGACTCTGTTTAAACTTGTAGAGAATTGTCTTGCAATACACTTCAAAGGTTCAAAGTGGACCTTTCCCTAAAAATCGCATCAACATGCAGCTTTTTATGCTGATGTGAAATCATCTTACATTCATTAAAAAACATTTTTCTTTTACCTACAATTACTGTTTTTACACTTACTGGTACTTTTGGGCATTAGTGATGCAGCACATGACTAGGAGATGCATCCTGGGAAGGTTACATCAGCAGAGCATTGCTGGGAAATCTCACGAGATCTCAGGGAAAGGCTGCGACGGACTGAACCGTCACTGGGGCTGCTGGAGGAGCCTGGGGGCTAGCCTCCTTCCTACTGACTATGGACCTAGAACTATGGAGACCCCCAGACCTCTTGGGGTTACATGGAACCATTCTCCTAGGATATGTGTGGAGTGACAATACTGCATGTTTCCCCTGACATTACACCTAAGTGACCATGTATTCATTATAGGCAGCAGGCTGTCTGGAGGGGCCATTGTTTGGGATGATCTGATTAAGGACATTCATTAAGTTCAAAGAGTGTCTGTGCTTAAGGACTTCCTATGCGGCACCTAGCTGTCTGGGGGAGGGGACACACTAAACTCTATTCTGATTCTGTGAGGTATAAACTCTGTGTGCTTTCTCCAATAAAGCAGTTCTTGATTTCCTCTTCAACATTGGTGTTGTCTGATGATTGAGGAGGTTAGCGTTCTGTCCTAATATATTGGTTCTGTCCAATAATTAGGCAGGTTTGGGCTGATGACCCTGGAATTCAGGGGGTTCCAGCGGAGAGGAAGCTGATTTCTGACAGAGGTACCCAGTCGGAGTACCAGGCGGTCCGTCACAAAGCCATTTTCCTCCCCTGAAATGATGTGCATGGTCACATGTCCTAGTCACATGTGTCAGAGTTCCAGGAAGTAAAGGGAGATATATTAATCTGCCCTTAGTAAAAATGGCCGCTGTGAGAAGATTGGGGAGGAAAAGAGAAATAAGTAATGCAAAGAATAACAAGCCGGCAATTATCTAGAAGTATGTGTTTGTAGATTGTCATCACTAACTATTAACTATTGTTAAGAGAAGGGTACAGTTCCTCTTTAATACCTTAGTTGGCTTATAAATTCACTGCCGGTGTCCTTTGCTGTATATATAACTCTTGGTAACAGGCGGTAATGGACAGACAGTGGAGCAATAAAATGATTTCAAACCTTTTAACATTATCTTGTGTCTCGTTTTCACAGACCAATAAAATAGCACCTTTATCTCAACAAAGGCATTCTTCAATAAAAACTTGAAAACTTTGTTTTGAAAAATGTCCTTTTTGAGAAAAAAATAAAATACTTTTATTGATGTTATAAAGGAAAAAAAAAAGACATGAGGTAATAACATTTTTTAGATCATTTTATTGTTCTGAGGTCTCAAAGGGGGGAGTTGATCAAAAATGGAGCAGCAGTGCATGGTAACCAATCAGCTTCTCTCTTCAGTTTGGTTAGTTAAGATTTGAAAGCTGATTGGTTACCATTAACAACTGCCCCAGATTTTCATAAATTCCCCTCAACATCTTCTGTTCTATCATGACTGTGCCCCTGTGCACAAAGCCAGCTCCATAAAGACATAGTTTGATGAGTTTGTTGTGGAGGATCTCAAGTGGCCTTCACAGGGCCCCGACCTCAACCCTATTGGAACAAGGACTGCAAGCCAGGTCATCAGTCCCTGATCTCACAAATGCTTTTTTGGCTAAATGGGCACAAAATCCCCCAAAACACTCCAAAGTCTTATGGAAAACCTTCCCAGAGGTGTGGCCGGTGTTACCTCATAGGGGGACCAACTCAATATTAAAGTGACACTAAACTGAGGAGTTAAATCTTAAAAATGCATTCAAGTAGCTTAACTATTAACAATAATGTGCTATATCGCTGTGGAATTCATGATGGTGGACTACATATTTCTGTGTACCTCCGTGTAGTTCCAGTAGTACCCAACAGTCCTTTAAAAGTAACACTAAACTCAATAGTTAAAAAGGTACTTGAATGTATTTTTAAGATTTAACTCCTAACAAAAATGTATCTTATTTGTGTATCACTCGGCTGTAGATCCTCAAATCATCTCTGAATTGGTGCCGACACTGTCCTTCCTTCTGGAGGGGGGCTACTTTTGTTCCCCATGGTCCGTGTGTGTGCTGTAAAGTAGTCACCGCTCCAAGCTCGCTCCCAGGATGGACTACAATCTCAATACTAATCAGTAAACTAAACGTGAGATTGTAGTCCATCCCGGGACCATGGGGAACAAAAGTAGCCCCCAATCCAGAAGGAAGGACAGTGTCAGCACCAATTCAGAGATGATTTGAGGATCTACAGCCGAGTGATACACAAATAAGGTCCAGTATTGTTGTTAATAGTTAAAAAGGTACTGGAATTTATTTTGAAGATTTAAAGGAGAACTATGGGGTCAGTGGTTCTCCTCAGGTTCACGGGAGGACACAAACTAGTGTCCTCCCGTGACCCAAAGCTCAGTATACCGCGAGCTGCAGCTCGTGGTATACTGAGACCGCCGCAGCCGGGACGGATCCCAACATTACTGTCTGGATCCAACTAGCTGCGTGAGTGACAGCTGGCTCTGCCTATCTAGAGACAGAGCCAGCTGTACCCGCCCCCTCCCCCGTCCATTCCGCCAGTCAGCGCTGGAGGATCGAACAAGGGAGGGGGAGAATCCCTGCAGGGAGCCGTGACAGTCTCGTCTCTCTGCAGGGAGATGATCGAGAAGTGAGCGAGTGACGGCATGCGTTCGCTCACTTCCCGATCTATTGAGCCGACGTGTGACAGTCTCATTGTCACATGTCGGCTCGAACTATGAGGTTGAGTGATTTTCACTCACCTCATAGTTCTCCTTTAACTTCTGAGTTTAATGTCACTATATTATTGACTTGGCCCCCCTATGAGGCAACCCGGCCTCCATAATGTAATATTACAAGCAAAACAATCAAATTTAACTACACTTGCAAGGAAAACGCTAAAGAACGATCATTAGTGCATATATTTGCACAGGATGAACATTTACAGATATTCAGAGAGAACGGCCCTGCAAATTCTTTATAACTCAGCCCCTTAAAGGCTATAAAAGCTAAAAGCCTCAATCAAAATATTCTTCTAATCAAAGGCTGCAAATTCCTTCCAAATGACATTAACATGTTAAGGCTAATATGAGATTTTAGTGATTGAGTTTACAAATACATTAACCTTTCCCCACCCAAATTGGTCAACTAGTTGAATTTAGTTTCTTCCACCCAAAACGATAAGCTGCCTGATTGCATTAGCAGCATTTCACACAAAGAATTTGATCTTCCTAGAAGCCGGAGCAGATGCATGCTGGGTAACGGAGAGTGACTTGGCGCAGCATCAAACACTCTGTTCAGAAGGTTAGCTCAGTCTGCGAGAATCCTGCCCTCCAACACAGCAAGAGGTTACCGGTAATGAAATATGTAGCAGACCTGCCAGCTTGGTGAGAGAACTGCTCAAAGCAAGATGGCATGGAGGGGGGCAAATAGAAAACTAGAGCGCCTTCTTGGCCCAGGGGGGCGAGTGCCTTGGCATACGGGAAGATGAGACAGGAGATATATATATTATTGAGAGTCTGTGGGCCTCTCCTCACTGTGCCTGGCTTCAAAGACTTCACGAACCGGAGACCATCAAACAAAAACTACATCTAGGTCTAAAAACTTGAAGTTAATGAACCTTAGGAGCTTGTAGAGTCAGACTCGGTGACCTGAAGTCCTCCGCTTCTTGAGGAAATGACATTTCCCAGCATGCTCTGCCATGGTATGTGTTCACATTCAATTGTGAAGATATGTAATCAGGACACCTCCATTATTATCAGAAGTATAGGAGGGAAGAGAGGCCGACAGACACAGGAGCCCAGATATCATTTATCGCTCATAGTATCCATTAAATAGCCAACGCGTTTCAGAGGTTCTGGCAGGATTCATTTGTTAGGGCTTCAAAATGTTGGACAGAAAAAGAGATTCAGATAACAGGAGGTACGTAGATCAAGAGAACAAACTAAAGCGACAATGTCAGTCCAAAACAATCCTAATGGGAGTTCCCCGACATAGAAGGGGTATTATCCTCCAGTGGCCCGTGTCTCCTATGTTCCCTCCATTCCAGTGCTACAGCTTCCTTCACACTCTTCAGCATTGGAGACTAACAGGTATATTGATAAACAGTAAACGAATGTCTGTGAACGATCCTTTTGGGTGAATAATGGCAACAACCATGTAGTGTGTTGTAGTAATTAGGGATGCACCGATACCTGTTTTTCGGTATCAAGTACGAGTACAGATATTTCGCTTTCGGTACTGATTACCGATGCTTCCACTGGCATGAAGCTGGCTTCCTGAGCAATCAGGAAGCCGGGCGGCGAGAAATGACATGCCGCCTGGCTTCCTAAATTGCCCGGGAAGGCGGCTCCATGTTGTCTGCTCGGCTCAATTGTCATTGGTCAGAAAAACGGCTTCTCATCCAATCAGGAAGCCAGCTCAATGTTCCCCTACGGTACTGGCGGTCAGAGGAAATCTTCCTCTGACCGGACGTTCCGGTATCGGAGCATTTTGGCGAGTACAAGTACTCGCCCGGATATTCGGTATCGGCACCGATACCAATACTGGTATCGGTGAATCCCTAGTAATAATACATTATGGCCACTAGATGGAGCTGGAGAGCACAGGAAAGGAGTACAGTTGTACCTCTGTTCACGAATGCCTCTGTCCACGAACAATTCGGTTCGCGACCAGGAAGTTCGTCAAAATTTTGCCTCAGTTTGCAAACTCTACCTCGGGTTACGAACACGACCATCTTCCCCGCTCTGACACATGGTCGTGGCTTCCCGTACTTGAGATTGCGGTCGCAGACGGGGCTGTGGACACTTACTGTGAAGCTTTTTTGTGTGCTTTGAAGCACAGTACCTTAAAGTATTACTGTATTCAATCCAGCATGGCTCCCAAGAAAGTGCAGAGCAAGCGTGGTGGGAAAAAGAAAGTGCAGAGCGCTAATGAAGGTGACAAGACTGTGCAGAGCATTAATGAAGGTGACAAGAATGTGCAGAGCATTAATGAAGGTGACAAGAATGTGCAGAGCATTAATGAAGGTGACAAGAATGTGCAGAGCATTAATGAAGGTGACAAGAATGTGCAGAGCATTAATGAACGTGACAAGAATGTGCAGAGCATTAATGAACGTGACAAGAATGTGCAGAGCAAGAATGGTGGTAAAAGAAACCTGTGGTTCAATTTTTTTTTTCCATATGGTTCAGAACGGATTAACCTGATTTACATTGAACCCTATGCCTATGGGAAAATGTGATTGGGTTCACAACCAATTCGGTTCGCGACCAGAATCGTGGAACCAATTAAGTTTGTGAACCGAGGTACCACTGTACCTCTTTCCTATGCTCCTTATCTCCATCTAGTGGCCATAATATATTACTACAATACACTATATCCAAATAGGAAGAACATTTGTTTTTGTCCTTATTCCCCATAATGAACATTCACAGATATTTGCAGGGTGATGGGCCCTGTGAATTGTTTAGAAATAGACCCCCATGTATCAAATGCCTTGATCTTTTGCCATGTGCTGTGGTTTCATCCTCCGTCCCCTATGCCACTACTGTGTATTACTATACAGGGAGGTTGTTTGCTAAAAGACGTGTTGGTAGAGCTGGACCTAAAGGTGAGTATAATGTGACAACAAATACAGCTTTTGGATGCTGCTCTCCATGCAAGATGACTGCCAGCCCCTGCTTCCTAATACCCATCCTGAGGGGAAGCTGTCACATTTGGCAGGGGTAGTAATACCATTGCTAAATGTTTTACCTGCCTGCAGGAGCTCGGGTTCCTTTGTGGTGTTGTCTGGGCGCACTTGTGCATACATTCGCCGTTTGGGTGAACATAAATTCCCTGCAAATCGAACTTGGCGGCGAACCTGAATCTCATCCCTTCTAGAAAATCACTACTATTACAATCCTTTCAAATATAAAAGGTTTCATTATTAAGATGACCCGAAACCGAATACTGAGATCCCTGCTTAAAGAAGAACTCCGGGCAAAACGTTAACCCTGGCAGTAAGGCAACCCTTGCAGTAAGGCTCCCCCGAAACTTCAAGGGTTAACTGCTTGTTTATGTCTAGGTGCGAAAATTAAAAAGTTATACTCACCCGAACCTCAGAGCCGGAAAACTGTCGCAGCATTCCCTCCAACCTGTCTCTTCCTAAGCTGCAGCGATAGTATGTCCCTTGGGATCCTCACGTCCTATACACATTGTATGGAATGTGATTACTCAAGGATGCTTAGACCGCTGCAGTGTAGGAGAAGAGAGGCTCCAGGGACCTTTCTAAGAGCAAACCGCCTCCGAGGATCAGGTGACTATAACTTTTTTTTTTACATTTTAGCATGTAGATAAAAAAAAGCGGTTAACCTTTGCAGTGCTGGGGTAGCCGCGCTGCAAGGGTTAATAAAAGTTTTCTTCTTTAAGCCAATCATAACTGGTTTTTTTTTCTTTCTTGTATTTCAACAGTTGCTTATTAAATGCCGGTTCACACCACAATGTCTGCGTTCCAGAGCGTTCGGCCTGCAAGCGCTATTTTTGCAGATCGCGCTGGACTGGAACGCAGGCACTAATGTGTCACGCGTTCGGGTGATGGCACTGCAGGCGGGGCGGCGGTGCCATTGACTTCAATGCACAGCCACGCCCCCTCCTGCCCCTGAACGCAGGGAGCCGGCCGGCTTATGTTCCAGAGGCCAAATGCTCTGGAACGCAGTCTTTGTGGTGTGAACCGGCCCTCAGGCAGCATTGCTGTGAAATACATACCCCACTCCAGGAATAATCTACCAGTCTATACATTCAGAACAATAATGGAAATACGGGCGCCACAAGCGTCTACACATGAAGGAATTTGGAAATCTATGACCCGTGTGTGACGGCTCCTCCTCCCTGGCAAGCTAATGCCCCGGCTCGAAAATCAGATTAAGAGATGGGCTGTGTTGATTCCAGAGGTGAACTTACCATGGCTTGGCTTTGTAATACTCGTCCGGCGTCACAGTTTTAATTCCACCGAAGTAGTCCAGCACCCAAATGTTGGTGATGTTGAGTTTGGCAAAGAACCAGTTGTGGTCGGAGGGCCACGTGGCCATCTCCGGGTGGCGGCTGAACAAAGCTACCTTCGCTGTGTCATTTTCCTTCCCTTCCACCTGTATAGGATTACATTCACCAGTCAGATCATCATAGAGAGGAAGGACAGCTGTACAATTATTCTGACAATGTAAAAGCAATCAGGTCATGCTAAAGTGGCCGAAAGGTCCTCTATTAAAGCCGAATTCCAGGCAGATATATAAAAAAAATCATCACTGCAGTCGTATATATTCATAGAAAGAGAAGTATTTTCATGCAGCTGGTCTAACTATCAGAATAATCCCGGGAGAAGACTCATGGCCGGATTCGTATTGCCTATGGAATGTACTGGTGACTGGTTCTGAAAATCTGCGTGCCCTTGGGTTGTGTTTCTCACCATATTTCAGTCTCAGTAACTTTTAACTGCCTCCGGGCCGGCCGTAGTAGAAAAACGGCCAGCCCGGAGCTCTCTAGATCTGAGCGGGCGTCTCTAGACGTCCGCTCAGACACGCCCCCTCGCGCGCGCCTCTCGGCGCGACTATCTGTCCCCAAAAAATGGTATAAAATTCATTTCAGTACAGCGTTGCATGACGGAATAAACGTCAGTCAAAGTATCGCAGCGCTGAACACTGAAAAATGGCCTGGCCAGGAAGGGGGTCTAAACACCTGGTCTTGAAGTGGTTAAAAGTATGCAAAATCTCGAAACAGCTCACCCCCCCAAAATACAATACCAACCCCTCATCCTAACCAGGGGTCTTGTATGGAATTTAAGGGGGGACCCCAGGCAGAAACGTTCCCCCTTAAAGGGACATTAAACCCTCAGATTTTTTAACATACACCAATACTGTAATGTGCGCCTTACTGTAATCCATGGTTGTTTCCCTTCTCTTTCCTGCTCTTCCTTTTAAATCCTCATGTCTTCTCATGCTTGGGGAGAACTTCCCTTTGCAGCTGAGTGCCTCTTCCTGTAGTGCTGGCTCCGGTTGTGAACCTGCACACAGACACCATGTATCCATTCCTGAGACAAGGCAGTCTGCTGCAAAACAGAAGTTCTGCCCAGCATGAGAAGAGATACAAATCTAAAAGGAAGAGCAGCAAAGAGAAGGGAAACAACCATGGATTACAGTAAGGCGCACATTACAGTATTGGTTTATGTTAAAAAATCTGAGGGTTTAATGTCACTTTAACATCAGAGTCCCCCCTTTCACACTAGAAGTCCCCCCTCTTCTTTCCACATTAGGCTGGAGACCAGTGCTGGCTGTAGCTCCCCCATGGAAATGCTGCTCTGGGTCTGTGCCTGTGTGGCTTGCTTTCCAAGCAGATTTGGTTCTTTACCTTCTGGATGATTCCGGAGAGTATAATATGAGCACAAAGTGGACTCTGCGGATCATACTGCTTCTCTCTGCAATATGGAGTCTGGGCCAGAGACATGGTCAGCGAGGCATTTGCATTCACCTGAATGAAAGAAGAAATAGTTCACGTGCTGAACATAAAATGGAGATAGAAAAATATGAACAAGCCGATAATAATAATAATCCGTTTTAAAGTCAAACGAGCATTTAAAACACACCAACAGCTGGTTTAGCCTTCCTCCACTATAAAGTGCATTAGACTTCAGGATGCCAAGGGACATACCACAACCAGGGCGGAGGGAGAGACTGCAAGGGATATCTTTTGGGAATCCTGAAGTTCCCCTTCAATGCAGACCTCCACAGACCCCCATACTTACCTCCGTTCACTACTTTGCTGCTCCATTCAGCTGCCAGGAGTCAAAGCAATGAGCAATGCACCTGCCTCATAGCACACTACAACACATATCCACCTGCTCTGTGTATGACCCTATAGCACACGCTAAGCTGCATTCACAGTCCATTCATTTAGAATTGGCTGTCTAACGCAGGCCTTCTTAAACTTTCTCCACTCGTGACCCCTTTTTGGCCGAGGAAATTTTTAAGGGACCCCAGCGTCGGACGGTGTCTCTCCCCTCTTTCCCCCAACGTCGGTCGGTGTCTCCATCACCTAGCATCAGTCGGTCG